ACTTGAGCTTGGCCTTTTGAGTGAAGTACATACAGAGTAGCTTCATTAACACTCTTTTCAAATCCTAAACTCAATAAGTAAGCATCAATCTTGCTATTCTAGGTGCAAAGAGCTTGTTTCAGCCCATACAAAGCCTTACGCAATTTGTAGATTTTATCATATTCTGATTCAACTTTGAATCCTTCTGGTTGCTTAACATAAACCTCTTCCTGCAATATACCATTCAAGAAAGCTAATTTGACATCGAAATGATACACTTTCCAACCAAATGCAACTGAAATAGTCAATAACAATTGAATGGTTTCATACCTAGCAACTGGTGCAAAAGTATGTAGGAAATCAACACCTGGTAGCTGAGAATAACCCTTGGCAACAAGTCTTGCCTTGCACTTGTTTAAGGTGCCATCAGAGTTAAGTTTCTTTTTGAAAATCCACTTCACTCCAATCACATGTTGTTTTTCAAGTCTGTCAACAAGTGTCCAGGTATTGTTTTGATTAATTATCTTGATTTCATCTTGCATTGCAGCTTTCCACTCTTCTGATTTTGCAGTAGCTTAATAAGAGTCTGGTTCTAATATAAGCATCAAATTTCTATGATAAAGATCATCAAGGCTTTGAGTTCCTCTCACTGCATAATGCTCATCATCATCTGCATCTAGCATCTGATTTTCAGCTTTAGTTTCAACAGGTTCATGAAGTTCAATTTTGAATGGAGACCCCACTACTTTTAATTTAGTTTTCCTCTAATTCCATCTTGCGGTTTCATCAAAGATTACATTCCTGGATACAATGACTTTATTTGATTTTAAAAGATAGAGTCTGTACCCTTTGGACTGCTCACTGTAGCCATTGAAAATTGCTATTTCGAATCTGGAATCAAGCTTGGTTCTATAAGTTTCAAAAACTTGATGATAGTAGAGACTTCCAAATACCCTAGGATGATCAACTGAAGGCTTTCTGTTGTACCAAGCTTCATAAGGAGTTGTTCTTGACAAAGCCTTTGTAGGTAATCTGTTGAGCAGATAAACAGCTGTGTTGCAAGCTTCTGCCCAGAATTTTTTAAGAAGATTTTTTTCAAATAACAAACATCTCCCCATATCTAATATTGATCTTTCACTCAGTTCGTTCTGCTGAGGTGAGTGAGGGACTGTGAGCTAATGATGTATCCCTTCAGCTTAAGATATTTCTCAAACTGTGATGAGGTATATTCCTCACCATTGTCTGATCTTAAACACTTCACCTTCAAAACAGTCTCTTTTTCAACCTCGGCTTTAAATTTAACAAACATTTCAAAGGCTTCATGCTTAAATTTAAGAAAGTATATCTAGGTCAATCTACTGAAATCATTAACAAAGATTATAAAATATCTACTGCCACTTAGAGATTCTTGGCTCATAGGTCCTACAATATCTTATTGAACCAAATCGAGCCTACTCTTTGATCTTGTCAAGCTAGTAGAGGGATATGGCTTAACTGGTCTGTTTACCATACTTGCAGACACTGCAAACTGATGATGATATGTTTGGCTTAGGTAGCTTCTCAACTAACTTCAAAGAATATAGTTTATTTAAATAATTGTAGCTACAATTACCAAATCTCTTGTGCCAAAGTGAA